AAAACGGCAAAAGGTATGTAACATCCCTTTGCATTGTGTGTCGCTTTTATGGAGTGCTCTGTGGGATTGTTCGGATTAACTCCAGTTCGTCCCCTCTTCTATTACACATACGCAAATTGCTTAGGTACTGATGCAGATTGTCATTGTGTGCCTGTATCCCGCGTATGATAAACATAAATGTAGTACTTAGGGAACATCGCATATTTCCAGTTTAATATTTCGCGCATAGACCTTCCTAATAGTAAACCGGCACGGCATCGTGGTAGATCACCACAAATAAGTTTTTTTTTTGGTTAATATTTGGTGATGTTCATAATATTTATAACTGATTTAATGGTAATGATGGCTGGAGGCATTTGCATTTCAGTGGAAAATTTCTTGCCCAGCCTACTAAGCTTAGTTATACTGCTTGCATGTTTTCTAACAATTGAAGTCTATAATATCGTTTTTTGTCATGAAAATAAATGATTCGCATGAAAATTGTTTTTGTAGTTGTACTCCACTTTAGATCGTGATAACAAAGTAATAAAGGACAGGATAAATGTTTATTGGGGTAGTAGGGTAATGACTATTATACATAGAAATGACAATATTTTTTAACTCTTAAAACGGTTTTTAACATGTAACATATCTCTTAACCGATTTGTCAAAATGGTGCCGGTTGTGCGGGTAATATTGGGTCCTTACATATGAAATTAGCATTTTGTCGTACTGATCACTTTGATCTAAAATATCTCCTCTTTTGTTGAGAATTCCAAATTCAAATTTATAAATTCATTTAGCTGGTACATTTGAGTTTAGAAAACAGTCGTTCATTTGTTTTTTCCTCATTATCTTTGAAGTAATATGTACTTACGTACTAGAACAGCTATTTCAAACAAAAATGTGCGCCACTCTGTGTTCGCACAGTTGGTTTTTTATCATAGAATAAACATATAGATAGAATGATCAGTAGGTAATAGTAGATGGTATTGTTAAATAGGTAAATTATATCGAGAACAATTTTTAAATTTTGTCATTTATTTTGTATATTGTATTTGCTTATTTAATATAATATTACATAACATTATATTACAATTATATTTTAATGATATTTTTATCTCAAAATTTTAAAATTTATCTATGTCATGTATAAAAAAACATACTAAAAGTATGTTATATATTTATTTAAATTAGTATAAGAATCATTCATAAATACTGGGCACTCGAAATTCAAAAATAGACGAATTTATTCCACTTTGACTTTAATGTAGAAACCTAAAAATAAAATAAGATGATAAAAATGAGCAGATTTAAATATAAAAAATGTTAGCCTAATTACGGTAACTTATATATGTTTCTACAAAAAAATGTGTATAATAATATATTCGTCCTCTACTTAAGTACCCACAGAAATGTCGCATCTGAACAAATTAATTTCATAATCTATATTCCATGACAAGAGATGGCGTCTAACGAATAATTTGTTTTATTATTAATAATATATAATAGTTTTTTTATCGATTAAGTGTCTTATTAACCGGTGAAAAGTAATTCCTTGGTTTTTATTGACATTTCTTGAATTATTTGTGCAATATCTAAGTACACATGCCGGCATATTTTTATCAAGAGATTTTTTTTAAATCGACACAACTCTACAAGCGCCTAGCGAGTGACTGCTTAAAGTGCGGTTTAAGCACCGCAGTTGAATGGAACAGAGTAGCTCAATGCAGTGTCGCCTCTAGTACGTAGTAGTACATAATAGCTCAATTCTCATTATTTTTTTCTTTGGCGTCGCTTATTACCGCACAATGGAAAACATGAAATATCGGTATATTTAGATGAAGAAAAAGAAGTTAGATGAGCTACAAAAAAACAAAGAGAGAATATCTGCGACATCCACCGTATTCCCCGGACCTTGCTCCAATAGATTACCATTTTTTCTGGAATTAAGACTTCTTACAAGAAAAAAAATTCAACTCCGATGTGGCAGTCCAAATTGCCTTCAAAGAGTTTATTGATTCACGCCCCCATGGGTTTTTAGTAAAGGAATCAATGAACTACCTATGAGATGGAAAAAGTGCATAGATAACAACGTTGATTAATTAAATATATTTTACAAAAAAAAAAATTGACTTTATATTCCTCCCGTACAAAACGCTAATTTCATATGTAAGGACCTATTATATAGTACTTATAATATAATTGACTGCCTCGTTGGCCGTAAGAAACGTAACTATAAATCATAAGATCCCAAGTTCGAAACTCATGTCGGGCAAGAAAAATCAGTTATTGAGATTTTCCGTCAAAAATCTCTTTAGTAGCCCGAATTAAGAAAGTTTGCGGTATTGCACCCCCGTGCTTCGGAAAGCAGGTAAAGTCATTGGACCTACTCCAGATTTTTCCCCAGTCTGAGGGGATAGAGAGTGCACCTGTGCTTGCGCATACACTTGGGCACTATACACTCTATTCTATCCACTCATACGCAGATGGCGAGTCTCTATTGAGACTGGCCGCTTCTAGATTTGTGAACATTGTTATGACGTTAGCAGTAAAAATATGGCGGAAATTACCTGTCAGAAATATACAAATTCAGATAAATTGACCGTATGAATTGATTAATATAGTCGTGTAATTATTTTATGCTACAATTTTCCTACTTTTATCTCGATTTCATTTCACGCAGCCTGTAACATTAATTTACTCCATGCGATGTTGTCTTTCACCGTTTTAATGAGCCGTGAGATAAAAGTACGAAATTAGATCAGAATAACAAATACGTCCCATATTTGTCTGTTGCCGAATTTATACGACGACAGTGTTTTGTATTGCAGTCATAATACTATTAGTTTGATGTTATTTTATGTCTACATTTTTGTGTTGACTTCAAGACTGTGAAGATACACTCGTCTACTACATAGCGCTGTGGCTTAACGTGTTGCGCGGCTAAGGGGCTCCAGTTTGGATCTCGCACGGTAAAAGTATTTGTATGGCCTACAGATAATTGTTGCGTGTCTGAAGGTCTATTTATTTTATTTATAACATCCTATACGAGATGTTTTTTCCTTCATGTATTAGAGGACATGAACTTTTTTTTAAATTCAATATAGATTACTGTATAATACTTATTGAAAGTCATTTTTTTTATGTACCACCGGTTCGCAATAAAACCTCTGTCTTGGGAAGAACCAGCAAGAAACCCAGAGGGACTTTTTTATTTATTTAAATTTACAATAAATTTATTTTGTACAATTTATGTATGCATTTTTATAGAACCAGCATGGCGATCACCTCATTATCAGGGGTTATTTTGATTTATATTGTAATGACCCATTTTGTACAATTTTTCTTTAATACAACATTTAAACTTGTTTAATGACAAATTTTATACATTTTCTGGGATTTTGTTGTAAAAGCGTATACATTGCCCCATAATTGAATTACTAATTCTGTGGAGTCTAGTAACTGACATTACAAGCTTATATTTGTTCCCAGTGTTCAAAGTATAAACATCTTTATTCTTATGAAAGCTATTTATGTTTTTATGTAATCACATAAATTACATTTTCATAAATATATTGCGATGCAAAACTCTTTACAATTTAAGTTATAAATCGCCCGTACGGATCTGTTTTGCAAAACAAGTATGACTTCACTGTCAGACTCATTACCCCATAGTAAGATACCATAAGACATTATGCTATGAAAGTAACTAAAATAATCTAATCTAGTTGTCTCGACATTGGTTAGACTTCTAATCTTTCTTACAACATATGCTGCAGAACTAAGTCTGCCTGCTAATTTAGATAACTTATTCTGGCCTTTCCTATAATAATCGCTTCTCGCATGAGATGTCGCGTAACAATTTCTACTTACCTATTTTGTTCCGTGGGTGTCGTGAGAGGCTTGCGAAAACCCAAAAAACTCACGGTTACCGATAGGTGGCGATATAAACACCTAGTTTACGCCAGATGTAAGATATCTAAGTCGCTTGTTGCAAAACGAATGGTACTGCGATCTTCAATTCGTCTGCTAAGCGACAAATCCTCCCTAATAGAAGAAGATATCAGTACCAAATGCTTTGCACCTCTGACATTGCTTTTTCCACTACTCTAAGAATTTTCGTATTGCGAAATAGGTTTAATTTCACATAACATATCGACTCATAAACGGGACCTTAAGCACCTTTCTTTAATAGACTCTTATGATACGTAATATCACTTTATATAAATATAGCTGTTTGACGTAGATTCGGCACTGTCGACACACTTCAGTAGTTCTTAGGGGGGTTATTTGCATGTTTGACTTTTATTTTATAAACACCATAATAAATTTTATGACTAATTTGGAATTATTTCATTTCATTTGATGTAGTGACAAAGATCATAATGCCTTCAAATATCAATAATCATATTATATGTAAGTACATTCAAAGCATTTTAGCTTTGATTCGATAAGGTTTCATTTAAGCTTTTTAAGATACAGTTTTGTTTTTGCTTAATACATAGTTTTGAAAAACATCAATTATAATGATATTATTTTCTAAATAGTAGTTAGTTTTAAATGCTTTTAAATTTTTTATTAATGATGTTGCATCGAATAGGCTGAAGAGATATCTTAGAGGAAATATTTTAATACAAGCCTTTAAATATTTACACTTAGTGCTACGTAATGCAAATCACATTTAAAACAAAGAATAAAATAATGATGTTAGAACAAATATCATCACAAAAGTGTTTAAATTTATTTTATTTTTTGGATAGGAGGATTACAGTTTGTTGTGTACCTGTCTATCTGTGTGTCGTGTGTACACCGTGGCTCTTAAACGGGTGTATCGAATCGGGTGCGATTTTTTATTTAAAAGCAGATTTCATAACGATGGTTTATAGACTTGTTTTATCAAAACCATTCAGCCGTTTGAAAATCACTATCTTTTTTTGTTTCGGGAGTTTTTAAAATTTTCAATTTAAGTTATTAAAGTCAAGAAAATATATTTAAGTGCCATTTGAAATTGTACTTACCAAACATACCATAACAGCTTTTGAAGAAATCTGGTGCCAAAGCACTTGCAAGACCGAGGAGTCCTTGCGGCACTTCAGTTGATAGAAAAAGGCCAAGCACAGCCAAAAGCATTCGTGTCGTGCGATCTGTACGACTAGAACGCCGCGCAGCACATGATTCTTCTGCCAAGCATTGTTTCTCAGCCTGAAAATGTATTCAGTAATTAAACCGATTTTTTTACTTTTTAATTAGATCAAAACACTTAATAAAAAAACTATATTCCTCAGTTTGTCATTCTTTTAAATTTATTCAATTTATTAGAAAATAAATTTATAATTAATATTTAACCATTATTTTATTAAATAAGTAGGTACTCAACTCCATGCGTACTGAATACGTTTTTTTTTTAATTTCATGAGTTAAAAAGAATATAAGAAATGCGGAGGAAAAAAAATGTAAAAAAACTTAAATATTTGTTAGATATATACGAGTATTTAAGATAGTACAGTAAGAGGTCGCTAATATGGATACGAATTTTATAGCAATTAAATAACATAAAAGGTTTTTTTAACAGAGATATTACTATATTTTAAACAATTATTGTTACTAAACAAAAAGAAATTATTCTGTTAATATTTTTCCTTCTTCCTCTCAAGTCGTTAGTAATATAAATAGATTAAGAATACGTTAATAATATTACTTACATCATTTGGCCCAACTATTGATCGCTTAAGTAGCTTTTGTCTTCTTCTTTCTGTTTTTGTCAACTTAGATATTAAACAGGTACTCAAAATCGATAAAGCTATACTTGGAACTAATTTTAATATAACACTATATATCCACATGATTGCAGTAACTAATTCCTTGTTTTTTGACATTTCTAGAACATACACAGTTCTATTGTGAGGTAATAATAAGTCTTCCGCAAATTCAGAATTATTCTGAGGTGTTACCTCACTTGGCACTATATTCATTGCGAAATAAATTGGAAGACATAAAAATGGACATATCACATAGGCGCTTACTATAGCAATTGTTGTATTTTCCTTACTACACCATGTTCTATTCTTTTGTGGAAAAGCAATAGCAATATAGCGCCATACAGCCAACGTTACAGCCAGCCAGATTGCTATAGTATGAAACGTTTGACTAAATATTGAATGAAAGTATACGAAAACAGCCCAAGCATACGTGTTTTTATTTACTTCGGGACCAATTTTTATATTCATATGAAGAGCGTATGGTATGTATTCCAGCATAACAAGAAGATCAGCAACTGCAAGGCCTGTGAGTATGGAATTAGTAGAACTGATCATTTCTCGCTGGCTCAGCACGGTTATGTTGATGGAATTTGTGGTAGATCCAATGATACATATCACTAGTGCAATATAGCCATGTATTCGGCTATATGCTTTATTAAATTCAGTGGCACCTGGCACACAATACGCATCAGTCGCGTTAGCCATATTGCGCACCCCGCCAGCTATCACATCTTGTCATGGAGTCACGAATATTGGCTTCATTGCAATATTATCCAAATGTTTTTGTACCGCATGGTATCGTTGAAATCTATAACAATACAAAAACAATATTCGAAATATTTCGATAAATCATTAGTTAAAACAAAGTCGCTTCCCGCCGCTCTCGTTTAGAGCTTTTAAACCATGCAACGGATTTTGATGTGGTTTTCATCAATAGACAGAATGTTTCAAAAGTAAGGCTTACATGTGTAACACATGCATATGTTGTCGAGATCCAAAACTCATGTGTGATGAAATACGTGTGTTTGTCACTTAATTCCTCCTAAATGATTTAACCGTTTTTGATGAAATTTTTTGTGTGTCAACTTAGACAGTTGCTCCTTAGATGGTTTAAATTCACAATAGGGCCCGGTAGGCGGCGCTTATGTCTAGACTCAGAAACCACCCGTGCGTAGCCGGTGCAGATTACTGTATATTATAAAACTTTAACGACAAACCTTTTTTAATAAGAGTTATTTTAAATAAGAAATAAATCATGTAATAAATAGAAAAAAGTCTTTAAGTTGTTATAAAGATAAACAAAGCTGTATTGTGTTTGAGAGATCTCACAATAGTTTCAAGGTCTTAAAACAATGACGCTAGCTGTTTGTGAACAAAATGTATATATTCAGGGATCAAACAGCTGTCATATCAGTTAGGCATTTTTTATGGCTCTTGGAATATGTAGTTTTAGATTTTACAGAATATTATGTATCTAATTTTTTGTCTATTTTTATGTCATAAAACTTCCTCTATAAATCTATGATAAATTATTTTGCTTTAGAATAAACTTATAGTCTATACATAGTTCTCAATGCTGGGTACAATTCTCTTATTTTTGAAAAGGGTTTTGGTTAAGGAATGTCCGCCGAAATGTCCCAATGTTTGTTTCTTCACACTTCACACGCCATTTTTTATACCGCCGAGTACATGGTAAACCAGCACTTAAAATTACAATAAACAAATAAATAAGAGCCGACGGAGATGGAGCCCGGTTTATTTGCGTACAGTGACCGCTAGCTAAGCGCTTTTTCCTTATTGCCAGTTATCAAATATCACAATGGCGAAGAAAGTTCGGAAGTACAGTTCGAATATTTTAGTTTTTAAAAACTATTTATATTTACCAGACCTAAAAGCAATTTTTATAGTTTAGCAAAAATTATGTGCGAAATTTAAAACTAGGTAGGTACTTATATTTTCTTATATAATACATAGGATATAATGTATCATTACTAAGGGCAACTTTTATACTTTTGTGATTTCACATGCGATATTCTCGACTCCGGTTAAAATAAACATAAATTATGTATTTAGGACATAATTTGCCACTACAATGTTTTTGACAGCAGACTAACTGTGTTTTGAATTAACTAAACAAGCGATGAATAGAATTAAACCCTGTAAAAAGCAAATATAATTGTGTTTACTTTGTGTGTTACAATTTAACATATTAAGTACCACATTACAGCTTAAGCAAGCGAAAGCTTAGCTTTAAGCAAATCTCTATGAAAGAAAAAATGCAATGTTAACATGCTCGTAAATAAAAGATATAGATATTGCATTTTTTTCTTTTGATTCTCACAGAGTAAAATATTTACCTGTTATTTTTATACCGCGTATAATTTTATATTACAAAAGTATATTTTTACAAATGTTAGTCTTATAATTAAGTATTTTACAAATTTATCGCTATATAAAATAATTTAAAAAATTTCTGAATTTTATACAAATCTTTTTTATTTTACTTTATTTTAGACTAAGACGAATTAACTTTATCAAAGATACAAAGCAATGTAGTTTTAGATTTAAATTTTTAAAAAACAGTTAAAGAATAGTTCAAGTATTCTAGATAGATTTCTTTTGTTATTAGCTCAAATAACCTTTTATTCATAAACATGATTAGTTAATGATTGTTATACTCGTAAATAAGCTAATTCATTTTTAAAACGTTACTGCTGCTGCGGCTGACTGCTCTTCTTAAACTTCACCGGCCAAATTTAAAAGTTTTGCAATTTTAAAAGAAGTAAAGAGTAAAGTTTAAAATGTATAAGCTAGGGGCCGGCCAGGAAAAGTCATGGCCGATAGCCCTCCGAACTTGCTGGAAGACGTTACGTCACCGCGCTCGAAATTTTCATGAAATTTTCCATCTTTTTAATTTTATTTTAAAATATATAAAAGTAAAGTAAAGTTACAGCCTATATACGTCCCACTGATGGGCACAGGCCTCCTCTCATTTCTAAAAAGGGCAAGGGATTGTTCGCCTCGCTGTTTATTAGCACTTAAAAATGCAATTAACTATTTTTATCAAATGCTCGTGTACTGTGAAATTTACAGCGAGCGCCTAAGCCCATATCTACCACGGCTCTCTCTGTAAATGTATAGGAGACGTTTTTTGCCTAAGAGTCCGCTCTACATATTTATACCGCCCATAACCTTGATGAGACCAAGAAAGTAAAGGTATTAAATCTGAAGGTATTGTTACGAGCTTGAGGTTCGTGACAATAAAAACTGCCGATTGAATTACCAAAATTTACACTTTTATTACCGAGGATCAATTAAAACTTAAAAGACACTAATAATTAATCACAATGATTCACTTTATTTCGCTCCGAATCTTCGCTTGTCTCGCCAAATTCAATACTGCCCCGATCGCGTCTTGCAACGGCTTTAAACACCTTTTACACCAAAACATCCAGAATATTCCAGTAAATACGGGCGCCGACCGACAAGGCGCAGAAAGTTTGAGTGTGGGGCTTCTAGAAAGCTTAATTCTTCTGTTCGATACTAGATGGCGCTGTTGATCGAAAGTTCAAGATTAACATTTTATAGGAAGCCCTCCTCGCTCTGATCCCCGATACTAGATGGCGCTAGTGCCATCTAGTATCGAGGACCAGATAGCAGCAGTATTATAAAGCATGCTATTGTAAAGAAAGCTAATGAAAATAAATCTCTGAGACGGGAACACAGCGACTAAAGAAAATTGTTTAAGTTGGACGCTGATTAGTTTTTCTCCTTCCACAAGATATATTTTTACAGTTTACTCCCAGAGATTTAATAAATCCTTTAAAGTTAACTTTGAATAAAAGGTAAAAGTCACATTCGAAGAACTATACAGAAAACATAATTTAACAACGTAAATTTGGGGCTTCAATTCTTCTATACACTATTTATAAGCGTTTTATTAAAAGTTAATTTTTTATCCTTTAATTTGACTAATGAATATAACCATCTCAAAATCATTTAAATAGATACATTAGAAACTTTAACACCTTCTTGCTACCTTTGGGATTGAAATTTTTTTCTTAAGAGTTATATGATAATATTAAATTATATGAAGTATAACCCATTTGCCAATGTAAACCATCAAAATCGTTTCACTATTGAAGAATAAAATACATACAGACTAACTTACTCTTGTTGGGCGCCTAAGTTGTCGTCAGGTACCTGGCCCTAGCTCCATCTAGTGTCAGGGACCAGAGCGAGGAGGGCTTTTTGGAGCGAGGAGGAGGGTTTCGGTGAAAAAAGACGCGATTGGGGCAGTATTGAATTTGGCGAGACAAGCGAAGCTTCGGAGCGAAATAAAGTGAATCAGTGTGATTAATTATTAGTGTTATTTAAGTTTTAATTGGTGTTCCGTAATAAAAGTGTAAATTTTGGTAATTCAATCGGCAGTTTTTATTTTCACGAACCTCAAGCTCGTAACACTATTCTCAAATTATAAGGATACTTAGAATATTATAACTGACATTGTGACTTGGTGGCCTCATACAAAAAAGTATGTACCGAAACGTACTTACATAAAAGTGTTAACTTTTCATTGTCTATTGAATTCCATATTTTTGTTCTCCATGTTTTTTCCATAAAGTTAAAGTAATTAACTAATTTATAGTCCAAATGATAATAAGTGCCTACTGCAGCCCATGAAAACCCGTAATTAACTTCATATAAAGAAGACTACAGATGCGTTTACATCTTTCTTCCTGCACATTTTACCAGGTCGTCACTCCATCTGGTGGCGGGATATTCTATAATTCGCCTGCTGGTATAAGGCTGCCACTCGAGAACCTTTCTTCCCTATCCGTTGTCGGTTCTTCAAACTCCGTTGGGTTATGTCGGTTACTCTGGTTCTACGGCGGATATCTTCGTTTTTAAGTCTATCATGCAGAAAAATCCCGAGCATAGCCCTCTCCATATCTCGCTGAGTGACGCTGAGCTTCCTCATACGGCCAACAGTGAAGGACCACGTTTCATATCCATAGGTCATCACTGGTCACACTTACTGGTTGTACAATCATGTTTTATGTTTTGAGGCATGCTTGACGAGAAGATGTGTCGCATTTACCCGAATGCTGCCCAGCCGACACAAATCAATCGATTGATCTCTTGGTCGAAGTTGGACTTACCTAGTTGAACTATTTTTCCCTGGTAAACATATTAAACGACTTCAAGCTTAG